ACTTCTTCCTAACAAGAGTGACAACATGTGTTTAGTTGTAGAATTAACACTGAAGAGTGTACAAGAGAGACAATGTGACATGTAGTGGCCCTGTGACCTGACAGTGAAGGTATAACTGAGGAAGTGGAAGGAGATGTAATGTAACTGTCACAAAAGTAGGATGCCCTCACTAGTTGCCTCATAAATATTAAGTGAAAATGAAAGGACATAGTTTCCAATCAGATCCTCAGGGATAGGAAAAAGGCTAGAGAAAGAAAAGGTCACCTAATATTAATATTCCTTTTAGTAGGAAACAAACAGTGACCAAAAATGTAGTGGCATTATGTACAAGGCTATTATGTAAAGTGTTAGTATAAACATAACTGTAAGAACAAAAATTCCAACTTTTAAAAATACAGTCTCCAACTCAAAATGGTTCAGTTTAGGATTTTTCACCTTCGTAACACCATAAAAGCAATACACAGTTAGCAGAATCCATCCTTTGACTGTGTTGAATTTGGATGTTTGCCTGGGCTGCTGACATGTAGGCTGGTCCTCTTGTCATGCTGGGAGCACAGGAAGCCACAGCCCCTCTCAGCTGCCAGTGCTCCGCAGTGTGCTGTGCTGCTAAGCTGGGATGTTCTATAAGCTAGGTATCGTAAATGATAATTTTTAACTTACTATGAGTTTATCAGAATAAAAGCCCATCATAAGTTGAGGAGCATCTATATCTCTCAGAAGTGTACCAAAGAGAACAAATAGACCACATACTCACATGAAACTTATACTTATTACATGTGTGTGGTTATTAATTTGACTCATAAAGTGGTAGAAAAAATGTTTATATGTCAGGTTCTGCTTGAGAATGAATGCATTTACATGTATACATCTGATACCCTAATATGTATATATGTGTATACTCTTACATATACATGTATGTATGCATAGTGCACACGTATGTAAGCAGATGTATATGCTTATACTTAAAACAGTGATTGGGTACATTTAAAGTAATTACCTCAAGAGAACATGACAGAGGGAATTGGGTGCAAATGATAGGGACAGAGGCGAGATTTCTTTGAATACATTTTACGGATAGAATTAGAGCCATGGATCTATTTTACATAACTTAAAACAAAATTAAGTTTTAAGAAGCAGTCCTTAAAAGTAAAGTAAAATACAAAGAAGCAAATCTGTTTCTGGATGTTAACATTGTTACTCAGAAATCATTGTGAGTAATGTTGAAACTGATTGGACTACATTTCTAGGATAAGATACCTTCAAAATAAAAAGATTTCAAAAAAACACCTTAAACTGTTTTCAGTAATCATTTTGCTGTTGTTAGTATTGATATTTTATTTGATTGAATCAATGATAAAGTAAATGCATAATTGTGCTGATGTTTTGAAAAATGGAAAGAAACAAATGAAGGTAATTTAAAATTCAATCCTACTGAATCTACATTTGACTATTAGTTTGATCTCACAGTATATCTTTTCATTAAAAAAAAGAAGCGGCACACACATTTCCTAGCCTGGCCTAGTGGAAGATTAGAAATGATGGCCAAGAGTGGCAGTGAGTAACTCACGCTCAGTCTCTGAATTCCATTTCCTAGTCCAGCTGTATTTCTTGGTCTGCTCGCTCGAGAAGCACAGGATGGCTTGGGCCTTGGGTCATAGCAAACAGCTGAGCTGGCATGGAGGGCTCCCACCAGGCACAGCAGGGCCAGCCTGTACAGTGAGGAGCCATGCTGTCGCGGGTGGAAAGCCTCATATCTGTGAGCCATCAGGGTGTGTATAACCACACAAAAGTTCTTCTGATCACCCGTAGAGAATACTAGTGAACCAACTCATTATTTTAAAATTGGTAAATAAAGGACAAAAATCAAGTGTTTTCTTTGTCTTTTATACATGAACATTCCTCATATAGGGGCAGTTTCTCTTTGATAGAAGTGTCCCTGCTAAATGAAGACAGCCTACTCCCGACAGCCTGTGGAGCATGCATAACCCACCTCTGAAAGTTTTGTGCAAACACGAAACAAAACAAAATCCCTAATCTGATCAAGACTCAAATTCTGACTACTTATTTACAAAAAAGGAAAAGAAGTGCGTTAAATTATACCACAGGGATTCGTTCATTAAAAACTGTGAGGAGGGGCTGGGAATTTAGCTCAGTGGTTCCGGTGCCTGCCTCGCAAGCGCAAGGACTGGAGTTCGATCCCCGGTACCCAAAAACAAAAAACAAAAAACTGTGAGGAACTGTTCAGAACAAGTAACTCACTTTATTTTACAAATTGCAAGGAAAAGATATGACAGGAGAAATCTGAGGACTAAAAAGGACTTAAACATAATAACCAGTTTCAGTGTGTGAATCTTCCTTAGATTTTGGCTCAGTCCGGTTTAAAAACAAGACATTTGAAGAAATGGAAATACTACTTTGATATTTATTTTTCTTACCTTGATACTTAGTGATTTTACAGAATCATTGTTGACTATGTATATAAGAGGGAAAGGAAGAGTCTAAGAGTAAGCTTTATCTTGTAAGGACATGTTGAAATAGTTACAGTGAAATTACAGTTTGCCTGAAAATAATCTAAGAGAGATGAGTGGGATGTTTATATAGGGAACAAAATCAGTCATGAGTAGAGAATTGTTGAGCTTAGTGATGAATACATGGGGATCCATTGTATTTTTCTCAACTTTGTATAAGTTTTTAATTTTTTGTTATGGAAAAATTATGAAAAGAAACTGGCCACAGCCGCTTCATTGAATGGCCCAAAACAAAAACCTCAGTAACATAACTAACTTACTATTTTTTCACAATTAAATTTATTCCCTTTCTTTTCTTGGTTTTTTTTTTTTTTTTTTTTGTACTGGGGTTCAAACTCCGAGGCAGGCGGCGAGACTACTGAGCTAAATCCCCAGCCCTGTTTTGTTTTGTTTTTGAGTCAGGGTCTCACTGTGTAGTTCAGGCTGGTCTTAAAACTTACTCTGTAGCCAGGTTTGTCCTCAGACTCTCAGCAGTCTTCCTGCCTCAGCTTCCCAAGCTAGGATTACAGGTATGCACCACCACTCCTGGCTTGCATTTTGTTATGGTGATTTTTGTACCTTCTCCTTTTCTTAATGAACTTCTTGTTTTGTATTAATTTTGGATTTACAGAAAAATTGCAGAGATAGTATGGAGAGTTCTATATACCCCTTACCCAATTTCTCCTATTATTAATGCCTTACATTACTGTGCCACATTTGTAAAACCTAAGAAACTGGCACTGCCACATTACTATTAATGAAACACCAGACTTTATTTAGATTTCACTGGTTTTTCCATTACAGTCTTTGTGTTTCAGAACTGAACCCAGGGCACCACCTTCCATTTAATTATCATGTCTCCCTAGTTGTCTTTGGTCTGTGACAGTTTCTCAGTCTTTCCTTGTTTTTCTTGACCTCAGCAGTCTTGAGTGCTGGCCAGGTGTCCTCTAGAATGCCTCCTATTCTAGGTTTCTCTGATATTTTTCTCATAATTAGACTGGGCTCATGGGTTGTGAGGAGGAAAACTCCTTAGGCGAAGTACCCTCCTCATCATATCACATCGGGTACAAGCTGGTGACACGATTCCACTCATGTGCATCTCCACTGCTTGGATGAGGTAACATTTGCTAGATTTCTCCACTGTGAAGGGAAGTGTTTTCCCCTTTCTCTGTTCTACTTTTTGGAAGCAAGTCAGTAAGTCTAGTCCACTCTCAAGTTGGGTAGGGAGGGTGGTTAGGCTCCACCTTGTAGGCAGGCATTTGACAGGGTCCTGAGACCACTCCAGGTTCAGTCATTCACTAGGGGAGCTTACAGGACTCAGCATATGATTATATTGTGGCTGTGCCTTATTACGATAAAAAGATACAGAGCAAAATTAACAAAGGGAAAAGGTTCCTGGAGAGAAGTCTGGAAGAAACCAGGCAAGCTTCCAGAGTCCTCTGTGAGTGCAGTCACACGGGAGGCTCTTAATTCCCAGAGCAACCAGTTATAACAATACACATAAAGTACGATCTGCCCAGGAAACTCCCTGAACCAGGAGTCCAGGGTTTCTCTTTGGGCTCCCTCTGTCTACTGTACCAAAATCCCACACTCCCAAGAGGAAGGAGGTGGTCATCACTAACCACGTTATTTGTACCAGTAGTTTAAGCACAGTGAGCCACTTTTACAGTTTATGGAAAGTTTTATACCAGTGTAGGGAACTGTTTGCTGATCAAGTGCCTAGCCCCCAGACAAGACCAACCCTGCAAGCAAGCCGGTCTAAGTCCAGCAGTCTTCAGCCTTTACTTCATTTTGTTCTGTTGAGGGAAGTATATGTATATAGCGCCCCCGCCCCCCTTTTTGACAGAGTCTTGCTGTGTAGCCCAGACTGGTCTTAGACTCACTATGTAGCCGAGGTTTGCCTCGAACTTGTGGCAGTCCTCCTACCTCACCCTCCTGAGTGCTGGAATTACAGGTGTGTATCACCTGTAATCCCGCCTGCTGGGAAGTATCTATATAGCATGACTTTTACCACCCATTTTATTTTGAGAGGAAAAAAATAGGACACGTAACAATGGAAGCACCATAAGAACAACAAAATGAAATTTAAAATTAGACCAAACGTATCTGGTTTTTTTTCTAGTGAAATATGCGGCAATCTCAGTCTCTTCTGTTAAAATTTCTTTTTCAAATTGTTAAGCATCGCTATAAAAATATTGCTCATTTTGTAACTTTTGGAGCATTTCATAATTTTGGGGGGGGGGTACTGGGGATCGAACTCGGACTTTGTGCTTGTGAGGCAGGTGCCGGAACCACTGAGCTAAATCCCTGGCACTGCATGTCATAATTTTAAAAATGCCTTCAGGTTGTGACCTCATTGACTGCCAAATTAGAAGAAGGCTGTGTTAATGTCAGTAATATCGTAAGAACCAAAACCTGGGTGAAAATGTCAGAAAATTAGTACTGAGATTTTAAAGACACTATGCATACTAGACATTTACTTTCTTTTTATAGGAAAAACGTGGTCTCCGAGAAATGCGAGTTCTTGAAAATTTGCAGAATATGATCTGTGAGACAAAGGAGCACACTCTTCCCAAGTGCAGAGACGCGATGGAGAGCGACCTGAAGGGAATTCTCCAGAGACGTAAGCCAGTGGTGCCTTTACACTGCTCTTGGTTTCCAGTGAATGCCGTCCCAAAATGTCCTTTTTCAATATGATGATGGGAAATGCAATGAAAGAATTCCTCCTAGGATGCCAGAGAGGAAATCCTGGGCACAGAGAAAGTGGCTATCTCCTGGGGACTGTGTTGCCATTGATGTCAGCAGCGTTAATCTTCAAAGCAAGATGTATGTGTCTCCAGCTCAAGACAGTCCTTTAGGACGTGAGAACATGAAAACATTTTTGCCCTTAAAAAACTTGTAAGAAAATGTTTGATGACCAAGAATTATTAAAGGAAACTTCTTTTTCAAATAGACTTCTTAGGGGTTTTAGCTTTTTTCAAAAAATAATCCTTTCATAAATGTTTGTATTCTGTCACTTTTTTTATTAAGCAAAATACTTTAATATGGAGTGATAGTTGATCAAAAAATATTTAGTAATATTCTTTAATATCAAACCATAACAAAGGAAGCATTATTAGCATAGCATTATTATAGATCTCAGATATGTATTGAGAACATTCAGTTTATCCAAGGAGGGATTTACGCTGGTAAATAATGATGGATTCCTGAAGCACAAAATGGAAAATTATCTTGGGGGACGGCGACAAAACTAACCTATAATAGGATGGCCTGTAAGGGAGGCAGCAGAGACGCCTTGGTCAATAGAGAGCTGACTTAGCCTTCCTGTACAAGGCCAGGTTAATGTCTGAGTTCACTTGTGAAGGAGGTGGGAAGGGCTGTCTCCCAAGATCACATTTGGTTTCTTTGAGTGGAACAGCAAAAAGTCTAATGTTGATTTTAGGCTTCTGCATTTTTTTTACAAATATGCTCTTGTTTATTCCTACTGCCACATCCCTCACCCTGGCAAACATTCTAGACACTATGCTAAGAGGAAAACTCCAGCGATTATTAATCTGAATGCTCAGGTGTGCATTTGAGATGTGCCTGTAACCTCTTCTTTTCAATGCTTTGAGTATATAAAATTAATCTGAATAAAACTCAGTAAAAAACTATCATCAGCTATTTTGACTGACTTCATTCTCGGACCACATCTATTTCTGATGTGGAGACTAGTTTCTTAAAAGTAAAGTCTCCCCGGTAAAATAGAAAAGTATGACTGGCAGTTTGGAATCTAGACTGAACATTTATTTTTTTGAAAGGAAGAATTAAAGCATACAAGATGCAAAATTAATAATTAGGGTTTCTAATTAACATCTGTGAAATATTTTGGATCTTATTGCTGGCTGTAGAAACCAAGTTGTGGCTTTCCAAGATTTTTCCTGTTTGGAGCAGGAAAGGCTTCCTCTGTAGAGCTCTAACATAAGAATTTTGTTGTACTTATTATGCTGAGAGTCAGAGTATAACAGAAATAATTATCTGCCTCTAAAGGTGGTGTTGTTTTAAAAATTAACCTGAACCCTACTACCTTTCCTAACAAGTTTTTATCTTTAAAAACTTGACATTTTACATCTTATGTTAACTTGTTTATTTTCACTGATTGATCCAGGAGTTGTACAAGGTCACATGGAATATTTTCTGATTGAAGCATGTATCATTACAGGACTAAAGATGAGTTTTGTGTCTGTTGTAGAACCACCATCCTTACCTCTTGCCTGCTTGCAGCAGTACTGGGGCTCAGTCACTGCCCCTGAGAACCCTGCAGACCCCGACAGTCCTGCACTGGTCTAGCAGTGTGCGCAGAATCACCGACTGGAGCAGGAAGTGGGCCTCTGGGCTGGTCCCAGTGGATTCCTGCTGCGGGATCCTCACATCAGCACCGCTGCTGCAGTGTGCTGGGTGGGATTGGAGGAGCAGGGCCTTCAGAACCCAGACATACCACAGAAAGTAAATGAGGCTCTGAGAAAGCAGTGCTGAGGCAGCTTGTCATCAAGATGTAAAGACACGTGGTGTCCAAGTTCCACTTAGTGGTTATTTTTTTTTTTTTTTTTTTTTTTGTGTACTGGGGATCGAATTCGATACCTCGTGCTTACGAGGCAGGCAGTGGAACCACTGAGCTAAATCCCCAGCCCTGCTTAGGGTTATTGAATGGGCCTGTAGATGTCATCGGATGTGAGGTCAGGAGGGCTTGCCTCGGTGTAGGGCCCCTCGGAGTTAAGTTAGGGGGACGGAGGGCCTCTGGGTTGTGCCTCCTTCGAATGATGTTACATGGCCATGGCAAGAGACTGTTCTGTCCCCAGCTCATTCTCTCCTTTAAAGCACAATAATTTTGTTTTCTTACTACTTAAAAATAAAAGAATATTCTTTGAAGTGGTAAGGAAAAAGAAAGAAAAAAATAAAATGTTATCTTTTTTATTTTTTTGGCCTTGAAGATTGAACCCAGGGCTTCACCCATGCCCTACCACTGAACCACACCCCCAGCCAAGACATTTTTTTTAAAAACCCAGCTGAGAATGGTGTTGCATACCTGTAATTCTAGATACAGGGCCACCTAGCAAGATCCTATGGGGGCCGGGAATATAGCTCAGTGATAGAGCATCCAGGGTTCAGTCCCTTGTGCTGGAGAGAGAGATCATCTTAATTACAGTAACTGTGGTTTTTTAACTTCAGTGAAGATCATTTCAGACAGCTTAGGGTGTGAGAGGTAGAATGGGATCATAACATTAATTAAAGTTAAAATATTAATTGCTCATTTCACTTGCATTTGACAGGACACAAGCTTAAGACAGAAGGCAGGACCTTAAAACAAGTGTGTTTTACTCTAAAGGGTAGTAGTTTCTAAAGATTCTAAGGAAAATGACTATTGAAATCATTCCAAAGGTGTAGTCACGTTTCCTTGTTGTGTTGCTTTGTGGTCGGCTGCATTGCCGACTGCCTCCCCTGCGGGACGCGGCCAGGCTCCATGCCCCTTGCCTCTCCTGCCCACCCGCTCCCTGGCAGGCTTCACTCTGAGAGACCTTCGAGTCTTTGCTTTCTATGCTGCAGTTGTGGTTCTGCCAAGTGTTCAGTCTTAGGTTATTCGATTCCTTTCTTTGACTGGTGTATTTATGGCGTCTGTAATAGTTCTCAATTTATTTTCTTAGCTCTGAAATCTTATTTTTCATTTCATTTTGTATTTTATCGTCACATTTGATCTCTTATTAAGCTCATATTGTTACTTTGTATGCCAAAGGACATATGGAGAATTTTATTAGGTTTTCTTTCAGAATGACTACTTTGTCCCCTCTGTCATCTCTTATATTCCTTTGTTCCCTCCCTTCTGTCCTCTGTTTTTCTATAGATTAAAGTGTATTAAAATTCTAAGAGTTTTTTCAGCCTGCCTTTCCAAATCTGGCTTTTGGGGGTGGGTTGTGTAGAGTGTTGGCTAGAGCCTCAGCCTTACTAGAATCTGTGTTCCTATTCTTGGCCACCACTTTTCAAAGTTTATATTATACAGTTATGATTCTTTTCCTCTTTACTAAGTGATACATCTTTACCTTTAACATTTTATTTATTTTGCAAGGTATTTAGAGAACTAAGACTTTGCTTCATTCTGGCGCTTTACCTAGAAATCTTTAGTATCTCTAAAACACTTATTTTTAGCACTTTATTAGAATTTTCACCTGTATATTGTATTTTACTATCATAACCTTATAAAATAGGTATTTATTATCCTCCTCACATGATAGTTTAAGAAACTGAAACTTCCTGATGGCTGTCTCAGAATAATTTGAAGAACTGTCACACACACCTACGCCTGACCCCACAGTTCACAGGATGTCACTGTCCACACATGGAAGAAAAGGCTGCCTCTTCTGGGACCCCACTCTTGGGTTTCCTCTTAGCACTCAGTCAGCTTACTTAGGTCCCACTTGCTGCCTTGGCTTTTCACTTCGGGTGCGCCTGCGCTTGGTTCCTAGACTGCTTTCCTGTCTACTCACTCCCTCAGTGATCGCATATAAAACGAGAACTTGAAATAGCATCTCTGTGCCCGTCAGTAATGCCGCATGTGTAGCTCCACCCGGACCCTCAGCTGAGCTCCAGATTTCTCTGTCCAAGTGCCTGGTCCACCCAGGTGCTCCACAGGCCCCTCTGTAACATGTCCACAACCAGACGCCCTCCTCTCACTTCTGCTTTCCTCCTGTTCTCTCTGAGCAGCCAAGTGAATGAGATCTCTGCACTTTGCTCCTCTCTCCACCTCTCTCTTCTGCCTTCCCTTTCCCTTGCTCTCCTTTCCCCTCCTCCTCTCCTCCCTCTGCCCTTCCTCTCTCTCCACTTGGATGTCTAATGAGCATCTCAGTGTTACATGTCCAGAGCCGTGCTTAAAATCATTTTGGTTCAAATTTGAAAATATGATGAGAATCAAACCGTTCTGAACGCCTCACCACGTGCGCTACCTCCCTGATTTAAAACACTGTCACCTTTTACGTGGATCGTTCATTCTGGTATCCCCAAAACTTACCTCTTTGCTCCTTCTCTTTCTTTCCACAGTCTGCGTCCCACGCAGGAGCCTGAATTATCCTGTCGCGTAACTCACGTCTTCTCATTATGATATTCAGAATATCCTTCTCTTGCATAGATTAAAATCCAGAATCCTTATAATGGCTTGGAAGTGTCTTTACCTGATGGCCTCACTGTGACTTTATGTCCTGCCATTTTCTTTGTCCTTCCCTTCATTCCAGCTGCACTGGCCTCCGTACCCTTCCTCTGATGTGCCAAGCATACTTCCACCTCAGAGCCATTGCACTCACTGCTCCCTTGGAACACTCTTCTCTCGGGTGACTTCTTAAAGTTAGTTTCTAAACATTGAGACATCAGGGGAAACGCTTCGTGCTCAGTTAAGCATAACTAGTAAGCGATGTGAACCTCATAGGAAGCTTCTGAGAAATGGGCTGTTTCCTCTTGGAGTCACTGATGGTGAAGGAAGAGAATGGTTGGTGTGGTCAGGTGGTGTCCTTAGATTTTAGAAAAGCATATTTTATAGATTCAGAAAGCAAACATTTTCTAATGTGTACCCAAAGGATTAAAAAGTGAAATACTTGAGAAGGACTGAACTTTCTAAAAATGGATAGTCTGTCCAAACGTAAGAACAGTCCTGTTGAGGAACAAAATATGTCTTTGTCAGATGTGTTCTGACTAAATCTAAAGGATATAACAAGTGACTGAGTAGCATAGTTAGCGCCATAACTTTTTTAGGTTAAGTTCAGAAGGATCTGAAAATGGTAAAGCACCTAAAGACAGCAAAAGAAAATTTTAAGATATGTGCACAGAGCCAGGAAGAAAAGGAAAAAAAACCCAGGAAATGATAGAACCAGTACTTGGGAAGATGACGTAATATTAATATGCCACTGAAAAAAGGCAGATCTAATCAACTCCCATTTTGTTTTCATCTTTCCTTTTAGAAAAGAACAATGATTGGGAACGTAATTTTCAGTCCTTAAATACACTATCTTTGATATAACTAAAAGTAATGGTTGCTGATAAAAACATAGCTTTTGAAAACAAAATTCTCCTCTTTTTCCCAGAGGGAAAGGCGTAACATTTTTCTGAAAGAGAAATCACAGTCCCTGCCCAGTTAAGAGACTTGTGACCTAGTTGGTTGGGCCTGACTGGGGGCGGGTGGGGGGACCCTAACTATAAACTGATGGGGTCACCTCCAGTTGAAGCAAAGGCCCAGCCCGATAAAGTGGTAGCTTCCCACGCCTGGTGAGGGAATTCCAGAAAGGGAGAGTCCGTACAGGGAAAGAACTAATCTGAGAGCACTTTAGGAAGGTCATGGCCTTCAAATGGGCTTCTGAAACCAGTAATACATTTTAATTAGAGGAAAAGAATAAAAATAGTATAATAAAATATTTCTTGACTGATTACTACTTGAACTAATCTAGTGGTTTTATTAATATTTAGATTATGTGTATATATATGTATTTATTTATTTATTTGTTGGTACCGGGGATCAAACTCAGATCCTTGCACTTGTGCAGCAGGCGGCGAAACCACTGAGCTAAATCCCCGGCCTAGATCATTTATTTTTAAGCATATTATCTACTGTGTTATCTCATTTATCGTGTCATTCCTAAAGTCCTCTTATTAGCTGTTATACTCATTTTACAAATGGGGTACTAAGGTGCTGAGAGATTTGGAACAATGAGAATGGTGCCTGGCACATAGCATATCCTCAATAAATATCCGACAGATGGGCGAATGAATGCGTGACAAAACATGCCCAACATCATTCATACAACTAAGTCTCAAGCTAGATTTGACCAAGGCGGACTCGTAGCCTGTCTCACTTAGGCCCCATAGATACCTAGTGGACATGGAAATGTACATGCTGTAATGTTAGACAGTATGGTTAGTGCACCGGAATTTCCCACGTGTGTCATGTCAGCACTCAAATGGTTCTGCATTTTGGAGCATTTGGGATTTTGAGCTTTCCAGTTAGGGAGGCCCAGCCTGTACTAGCAGTTTGGGTTCTTAAGAGATGGAAATGACTTAATGGGATGGTCTGGAGAAAGTTGAATGTTTTAGTGCTAGTCATGAAGAATTAGAAGACAAGAGCAGAAGGGGCCGGGGATTTAGCTCAGTGGTTTCACCGCCTGCTGTGCAAGCGCAAGGATCTGAGTTTGATCCCTGGTACTGGGGAGAAGAAAAAAGAAGAAGACGAGCAGAAAGGCAGGAAGAGTAGTGGAAAGATGTTGAAGCAGCCTCGATTGCCTGCAGGTGGTGCCTGGGAGAGTAGTAGTCTGAATGCGCAAAAAGGGACAGAGGACATTAATGAATCAGAGAGACAATGGAAAGGCATAATTAATCAGAATGTCCTGTAAATTACATTAGTCAGCTGTCTATCTATGGAGAACTCTGAGATTGCTTCCAACTGCTAATCATTGGAGTTAGTACTTACATGCCCTTTGACTTGCATTTCAGAGCTCAAAAATGACGGTGGTTCTAATTACAGCACCCTGAACATACTGACCAAACTAATCTCTCCCTGTAGCCACCCCACTAACCACCAAAATAATGTTTTTTTGTGTAGTTTCTTGAGATTGAAAAGAATCCAAGTAAGACTCTTATTGAACAGGGTACTGATTGAAACCCCATTTTCTGTTTTATTTTAGTGCAAGCAGCAAATGACTCTGTCCATAGACTCCAACGGAGAGAACAGGAACGAAGAAAGGTAAAAATAGATAATTTGGGTAACAGGACATACAACTGCTGGACATTTATTTTTATATCATTAGCAGTTGTTTTTGATCAGAAAATTCTCTGAATTTATTTTCTTATACTGTGATTTTTAAAAGATTTTAAAACATCTAATTCACTGAAGATGTGCTGAGGAGGTGTGGTCACATGATTGAACCATCAATATTTTTATAATTCAAATTGCAGGCCTCCTTTTTCCTTTTCAATATTTCCATCTTTTCTCTGAAAGTGGTATTTGTCTCATGAAGGAGAGAGAAAATAGGACTTTTACATGGAGAAAAAAATACCCACCAGATTGGAAATATAAATCTTTCCTTGAGCCTGATTCATAGACTGTATTATGTATATTTCTTCTAGAAAAGGAAGCATTCATGCCTGTGGATGGATTATTTAATGAATAGTCATAGGAGTATGTGAATCACTTGTTGGGCAGTGCTTTGCTTATTTGAATTATATCTTAACTAAACTCAGATGTGGAAAAACAGCATAAGAATTTAAGTTCCTGTGATAATTTGCTGTTTTCACTTAAAAGTGTTTTTGTGACTTATTCATTTACTATTTAAGAAATGTTAAAAATACTAAGCCACTCTGAAAATAATACTTTTAGTGTGTATCAGCAAATGTTACTATCACCATCTCTTTGGAATGTGTTTTAGTTAATTCACAATAGAAGTTCAGATCTGTCACTGTATAAATATATAATGGAATGAATCTTTCCAGAGTTCTAATTTCTACACCCTCTACTCAACTCTAGATGTTGAAAAATTTGAAAATTCAACAATTTGATGACTTAAGCTTTACTGAAAGGACTTGACATTTAAGACAGATGGGAGCGCAGCCCTGGAGTAGCAGGATGCAGTGCACCAGGCCAGGCAGCAGGTCCGTTGCCGAGCACACGGCCGAAATGGCAGATCGTGGTCAAGACAGCTGCGCTGCCGGCACAGTGTGCCGAGACAGCTATGACGGCAGGCATGCCAGGCTGGACAGCAGATGTTTTTTAACCCTACACTTTACTGGGTGCCACTGGGGATAAAAGCTTTTAAGTAATATGTTAAATTTAAGGCAGTTCCTACACTCAAGGAGCTAAAAGTCTAGGAGTCTCAAACCACCAACACCAATACAATGTAGGATAAAGAGCAAGCTGTGATCAGGTTACAAAGAACTTTGTGTGATCTTGGCAAAAGGAATAATTTATTAATTAGAAAAATTGATTAAATTAGAAAAAGGAATAATTTGTTAATTAGAAAAAAAATCAAGCCTAACCTTGATTGGTAAGTAGAAATTTAATTGCCAGATGATTAAAATAAAGATATTATAATGAATGCCGTATAAAGAAAGACAAAAGATGTGAGAAATCTTTAGGTGGAACTGCTGAGTGGAGTATCTGAATACTTTCAGAGATGATCATAGAGGCTCTTGAATTAGTTTGTTGTTGGCGAAATTAGTTTGTTGTTGGGGATACCAGGAGCATTTCTGTTTTTAAGAAGCATAACTACTTGATAGAATACTGGCTGTACATCTTAACATGTGCAACTCTCCTGACTGTAGAGTTCAAAGTAGTGTTCCATTTTCATGTTGCCTCTATTACACATCGCTGCGTGATTGAAACAGAGCCAGAGGAGTATGTGCACACACAGTAACTGGCCTTTCTAAGACATCATCCAAACAGTTACAATACTGATAAATGGTTGTTCTTGTCATTCTAGAGCAGAACGAACCTAAAACTAATTAGAATAGTTTCTTTTGCCACTTTGAACTATTATTTTCACATTAGGAGTATTCACTGTAGCAATAGTAGAGAAATGACCAGATTAGGTAAAAAAACAAAAACAAAAACTGGTTTCTTCTATTTCTGGTGGTCAGTTCCCTGTATTAGCTAGCTGTATACTATTGGACGAGCTCCTAAGCATCAAGTGCCTCATCTGCAAAATAAATACCTGTCCGCCTAGTGATAGGTTATGGGGTAACTCATGTTGCACAGTTTGTGTGAAGTAGTTGTGCAAATCCCATCATTGTCCAAATTGTAAGGTGGCATTTTTTTTCCTGCCGCTCCCCATTTGTTTCAGATTCAGCTGCTCACCACAGACAGAGCTGTGAGAGTGGGTAATGCCCTTGGGGTGTCTCCCGTTCATGATTTTCCAAATTAAAAGGTACAATCCATGGTTTTAAAAAGAAAAATGGCCTTGCAAGGCACAGTGGCACCTGTGGCACTCACGAGGCTCAGGTGGGAGGGTTGCTTGAGCCCAAGCATTCAGGGCCAGCTGGGAATAATAGCAAGGCCCTCTCAAAACAAATGGCTTCAAGAAATAAGAATATTTTAATCTGATTAAGTAGATTTCTTCTTTGCATTATGTTGGACAATCTTATTAAACTGATTTTTGTGGAAAGATTAGAATTTTAGAATAAACTGATTTTTATTTCACTGAGAATTAGTATTAAATCTATAAAACCTACATTTATAAGAACCCATACTGATTTTTTTTTTCAAGATATAGGTAGTTTAATAAAATTAATCAGCTTAAAGTTATTAAAGGGATGCACTTTCAGAGCCCAGTGAAAATTCTTTACATTCTTACTGGTACAATAAATGTTTAGTCTTAAGTCTTTATTTTTTTTAGTGCTTATATAATTAAAAGAACATTTGAAGTATGGATATTTAAGGATTTATTTTACTGCCATATATTTTTCTGAAATTTTCATATAGCAGAGGTTTTAGACTAATGTGTATTTGTGATAGATATATCATAAAGGTAAAGTTTAATTTCTCAAATGGCAAATACGTACAAATCAAAAATGATCTCTGTTTGTATTTTATAACCTAATGCTTATCGTTGCTTTCAGTTATCCTGTTGGCCACATTTTGTGTATTTGAAAGGTTCTCAGAACAAAGAAAGATGGGAGTAGTAATGGAATAAAACAGACTGTTGCCATTAATTATTAATTCTTTTATGTCAAGACAATTTGTGGAATTCTGTGGGAAGTAAATTGATAAACGTCATTCATCTAAATCACATTTCCCACAATTGATATCTAACAGTACATTCAAAAGAACAATAAATGCACATTTCCAAGTTACTTAACATGTCTTGAGACCTACCACTAACACCTTATTTGGGTTCTGGCAGTAAGAGTAGTGAAATGAGAATACACTCGGCTTATAAAATTCACTGGCTCTTAAAATGTGCCATCCAGAGAGATAAGGTGGTTAATAATATATATCTGTCAATAACTTCAGTTAGTTCATGCACGAGCATCAAGTTTTAAAGCCCCGTTCAACCATGCTAGAGCCAACAGTGAACTAAATGCGACTGCTCCAGTTTCATCTTGTCCACATATACTTATTGGACTTAGTTAATGCTCCTTTATGATTTTTTTCATGAGAGCAGTGAAATCGCACAGAGCCATGTTCTTGTTAGAGTTTGAAAGTGCTGCGTGACATATTAGTACATGCTATTTTGTTTAAAAGTCTTTGCCGGTTGTTATTCTGATACTGCTTACTAACTTTTCCCATGCCTGTGTAAGGCATATGTAAAAGTGACATACGTGTGTTACTGACAGATGTTCCAAAAAACCTTCTGAACCTTAGTTGGATGATTTAGAAGTTTCCCTTAGACCAGGGTTTCTTGACCTTGGTGCTGGTAACATTTTGGACCAGAAAGATAATCCCTCGTTGTAGATTATGTCCTGTGTATTGTAGGATGTCTAGCAGCATCCTTGGTCTCTACCCACTAGTTGCCAGTAGCCTTTCCTCCTTTCCTCACAGCTGAAAATCTCTTAAGGAAGACCCCCCGACACACCCTGATTGAGAATCATGGACTTAGAAGCAAAAATACAAGCAAACACATGTTTTATTGTGTATTCCCAAATTCATTTACAAAGTCAGTTGTGGGTGGAGTTTAGCTTCAGGATTAGGTTCTACTTAATTGGCTCCTATTTAAATTTATCTCTTAGAGGACATATATATATATATATAAAACTATTACTATTTCTCAGTTGTAACTTAATTTGCATATTTTACTGAAAGACTATATCATAGCTAATAACATTGGCTGCACAGTTGTAGCTCATGAATAAATTTTCTCTTCATTGTTTTAAAGTCAGCATTATCTAAGTTTTTCTTAGAAAATAAGTTCACTTATTTGAGAATACAGTTAATTTTATTTAAGGACAGCCTTCTGAAATTGATTTTAAAGTTTTTTATTGTGGTAAAATATGTGTAATTTTACATATAACATAAAATTTCCTTTAGCCTTGTTTTGTTTTTGGTACTGAGGATAAAACCCAGGGCCTCACGCATTCTAGGCAAGCCATGTACCACTAACTCCCAGACCCCAGCCCTCACTTAGCCGTTTTTAAACGTCCACTGCAGAGTCTTTGGGTACACTGGCATTGTTGTGCAACCATTACCACCATCTCTGTAGAAAAGTTTCACCTTGCAAAACTAATGAAAGTCTGTACTCATCAAATACTGACCTCCCCATCCCTTTTTTAATCCCTCGCCTGGCGACTACCATTCTGCTTTCTCTATGAATTTGACTACTTCAGGTACATTATATAAATATAATCAAATTAATATTTGTCTTTTTGTGACTGGCTTATGTCTTTAACATAATATTCTCCAAGTTCATCAGTGCTATAGCATTGTGGCAGAATTGTGTTACTTTTTAAGGCTGTCTGTCTATTGTATGTATCTACTGCATTTTGTGTATGGAGTCACTCATCTGTAGGTACTTGGGTTGCTTCTACCTTCTAGCTGTTGTGAATAATGCTGATGTAAACATAGCTATACACACATCTGAACATCTCTGCTTTTAGTTCTTTTGGGCATATACCCCCAAAGTAGAATTATAAGATCATATGATAATTCTAGGTTTTAAGTTTTTGAGAAACCACCAAGTATTACACATAGTTAAGTTCACCACAAAGCTGAAATTTTTATCTTCTTTAAACACAATGCTTTTATAACTAATTACTTTGGATGGAAATCTTTTAAGACATATTCCATACTCTTTCGTATTTTTAATTTATTAACTATTACAAATTAATTGTATGAATTGAATGTTGTTGAAAATATCAAATCTTATATTATGCAGACATGGTGATTGATGTCTTCTGAGACTGAGATAGACAGACAGGCAAAGATGGGGGAGGGATGGAAGGAGGGAGGGAAAGAATTGTGTTTCTATGCCAAATGCTCCCAAATGCTGTGTTTTAAGTTTGTATCTGTCTCCTCATAAGGAGCCATAAGGCTGATGACTGTCACTCATTTCTTCCCATCTCATTTACCAGCTTTTTCTTTTTCTCATTGAAAACCCAGCTAATCAGTTAGAAGTGTATGTAATATAGGCCACATAGGTTCAGAATCTTCTGAAAACTGCACTACTTGTGAATAGACTTTGTGGTATCATTTGTGTTGTTAGCTTAAAGATTGTAGCACATAGTTCCCAACTGCATTTCAAGTTGATTTTTATTACAGGTAGCTAAATTTTATTTGTATAGGAAGACTATAGTATTATTAATACATGAATGTATTGTCAGCTTCCCTTGTTTTTTATTTGCAAATTGTGAAGAATGCATAGCAATTATTATTATTAAAGGTGGGAGACTAAGAAAAGATAAAGAGAAGTGATTTTAAGAACCTCTTGATATTGGTGGTGCACACCTGTAATCCCAGCACTCAGGAGGCAGAGGCAGGAAGATCTCTGCAAGTTGAAGGCCAGCCTGGGCTACATAGTGAGTTCAAGGCCAGCCGAACCACATGGTGAGACCTTCAAAAAAAAAGAACTTCTAAGAAAGCAAGACTAGATTTTCACATGGATTTGGAAGTTGTCAGCTTTCAACTTATTGTCAGTTGGACTTCGAGGCCAAGAAGTGATATGCTTGATGTGAAAACTTCTTGAATGTGTGCATCTTGAGTCATAATGTCTTAGAGTTCCAAAATAGAAATACTGACTGTTGGCAGTATCATAATTAAAGCTTTTTCTGATAGCCAAATAGAAAGTGTATGCATCGAGGAGAACTGAACTAAGGATGAAAGTTGGGGAGATAGTTACTTTTATTTATCTGTATTGAGTTAATATAAAAACTTGTTGCTAAAATTAAATTATTAAAATAATTAAAATTAAAGAACAAAAATGTAACTGGTGGGGGTAAAGCGTGATCTCTTTCTAGATGTTTTACTTATGATTTGTGTAATAGTAATTGCCTTTTATTAGGCACCCCAGGCACTGAGTGTTGATACGTATGAGTGTTATTTATGAATGTAAAGTATTATTTTCCTCATTTTTAAGTTAAAACCTTCTTAGTGTCTTGCAGCAGGCAATGAGTGAGCTGGAATTTAAAGTGAGGTTTGTGTGCCTTCCAGGTTGGCATTTTCCCCACTAAGCTGCACTAGGAAAGTCCTGCCTGGTGAGCAGGGAAACTCAGCCCAGTGCTTTATCAACCAGATCAAAAGGTCAGATTAGTCAGTGACAGCTTTTTGGTCAAAAGAAAATGAAAAACTTAACATCTGAACATGCATATTCAATGTTTTTTGTGTTTATTAAAAAATAAAGTTAGCTGGGTATGAGTAGTGCATACCTGTAATCTCAGCACTTGGGGAGGGGAGGGTGGGAGGGTCACAAGTTCAACCTCAGCCTGGGCAACTTAGTAAGACCCTGTCACAAAACAGACAAAAGAGTTGTCCAACGGGCTGGGAATATATCTTACTGTGAAGACCTTGGTTCAATCCCTAGTACCACAGACAGTCGACAGAAAGGCAAATAAATAAATGCAGAAGTCAGAGAGACAGCCCAGGTATGAGATGTGTAGCAATGGGAAGTAAAAAGTGCCCTTAAGCCTTGATTTCTTGTGAATGAGAATAGTGTAACCTTTTAAGAGGGGTTTGTAGAAGTTAGTAAACCATAGAGAGCAGCTAGCTGGGTTCTGCATGCCTAGAGCAGTTGGGTCATCTAGCCCTCGCCAGGAGCTTGGCATTGTGATCCAGGTGAGAGGACACAGAGCGAGGAGGCACATCTCTTCCTTAGCATATCACTATTTTTCTGGCAGCTAGCATGTGAGTTACCACTCTAGTACTAAGTTTCCCTTTTTTATTAGAGCCCAGGCATTAATGTACAGGAATGCATAATGGCTTTAGGTATTTCCTAGGTTCTTAGGGTTTGCATCTGTCCCAGGTTCTGTCATGTATTTAGTAAGACTTAGTCCTCTATAAACACGTGGATGTAGAATACAAAATATAGTTACAAAGTTACCTTTTCGTGCTTTTTCTACTTAGCTTTTTACTGTGTGTGTTCAAAGATGATAATTGAAATTATACCTTAGGGGAAGATAATGTATGTTTTTATTCAGTATTTCATTTGTCATCTTGTGATGCTCCGCAGAAAAACATGTTCATAGCTGTATCTAGAAATGTAAGGACCATCTCAAGAACTAGGATGTTTGAGGCAGATGTTTTAGGCTTTGATTTGCTTTAAGAACTAGAACTGAACCAAAAGAGATTGCTTGAGTTCTCCAGTGACAATCTGTGATTTTTTTCAGATACACCTAAAAATATTTTATGTAAGACAGACACTTTAATTTCTTATAATAGTGATTTTTCTAGCTTACGTCCTTTAATTTGGTAAAAATATGTAGTTAATAATATGGAATCTAAGCAAAAATAGAAGTTAAAAAAATTGAACTTTAGTCATTTAAAGATACAGTTTTTATATTTCAAAAATGTGAGAATTCATGTTCAGTTATAGTAAAAGCTTTATTTTTTGTTTTTTTAAATTTTATTGGTACATTTTAGATATACATAATGATAACATTCATCATAGAGAATTTGTACCTGTACATGATATATCTTGCTGCTTCTTTTTTTCCCATTCCCTTCCCCTCCCTAAAACCCTTCTTCCCCTCCTTGTTTACAAAAGCTTTGTTTCCATTTTTTTCCTTGTCTGTTCTTTCCTTCCCCCCTCCCTCTTCCCCTCCCTTGTTCCCCTTCTCAATTGAACATTTTTTTCCCCATGGTAAGAAAAGTTTTAAATGTTTCTATTATGTCCTGTTTCTTGAACATTAAAACTATAATGCAGTTTTATCATTATGACTTACCACCTGGTTTTTATAGTGACCAACGTCGAGAGACAAAGTTAATGTTTGTCTCTTCTACACATAGAAATAGTTGTCTGGAAGATATTGTGTGACTTTCATATTTCCTTTTCTCAGATGTATAATGACCATTTAGTAGCTAGTGAGAAGCAGCATCAACTCCAATGGGAGGATCTCATGAAAGAACAGCCCCACAGACAGGCTGAAGTGGATGCAGAGCACCAGAAAGCCATGGAGAGGCTTAAAGAGCAATATGCCGAGATGGAGAAGGACCTCGCAAAGTTCTCAACCTTTTAAGAACTGAACCACAACAGTGACAGACAAATGAGAAAACACTGATTTCCATCCAAGCACTTCCACCAACCACTTAGCCTCTGCTTCAAGCTTAGCAATATATTCAGTGGCACTCTGTGTCAGAGGAGAGCGACTTCTGCTGAAGCCTGATGGGGTGTTCAGTGGAAGGAGAGTGCCGTGTCATTCCCATTTAAGTGCCTTTAGGTGATCATGCGAATGGGAAGCTTAGGAGGGAAAACAGGATCAGCTTAGTCTTTGTTTATCAGAATTGGTTTTCTTTCCTACTGTTTAGCTCAGAGAACTGTAAGGACAGACCTCTTAGAAAGGGGATTCATTCTCCTCCAGGATTATTATTCGTTTATTATTGTGGCTTAAAAGGCAGGTAGAATAGCTGCTGTCATAGCTTCCCTGGCCATGAGAGAGATAAGAATGCATAAAGTATTATTCCATGAGTAATGTCAACAAACAGCCAGCCTTGGAGAAGAGATCACACGTGAGACGCCTGAGAGTCAAACATTGTCTCCACTGTGACAAAGATGGCCATGGTAGACTTTGAACCACCTGTTGGGAGAGGTTGCAGAATTTGTAATGCCATGCATTTCCCTGGATGACAAGACATGGATGTTAAGATTTGTGGCCTTCCAGTCCTTAATATTTTCATCTTTTTAAAATACATTTTGACATTTAGCCTTTTCAAGAACCATAGTCTTGCCGATAATGTTTGCCTCATTTTTATATCTATTTTGCTGTGGGTAAGTGTATAACATAAATAATGTTTATACATGTTTCAAGTGTTTAATGAGTAATCAGCAAAATCTGCCAAGGAGTCCCTCTGGAGCCATATAAAGATTCTGGCTCCGAATGAACCAGAAGTGTTTGTCCACCTGGCAAATGACCCGTGTTAAATGTAAATCCTTTTTAGTGTTAACGTCTGTGCTCATAAGCAGGTGTATTTTGATGAAACGTGTACCAATTCTGTCATCACTGTGATCTTTAAAAATCTGCATTTAGCAATCTAATGGAAGAACTAAGTTGATTTTTTTTTTAATTTGCCATAAACCGAGCAAAAGTAAGTGCAATAATTTCAAGAGATTTATGGCAAATTAATTTGCAGTATGGGTAAATCTTTCTAATATTTTTATTGCTCTTCAGTAAAAGAAGGCATAAGAAAGAAAATATCCCAGCTCTTGTGTTATCTCAGTGTTGCAACTGCAAAAAATTGACAATGCTTGCCTGTGTGAATTTATGGCTTACTGTCAAGGTTTCATTCTTGGCTGCATGTTGAAAATGTGATTAAAGTTAATAGAGGAGATGAAATAAGTATTTGAGATTTCTTTCAATAACACTGAACTTCTGCCAACTTTCTCTGTCTGCTACTGAAGCCTTGACAGGTTCATCAATCATCCTCTGGTACCTGGACTAAAAGAGCACTTGCTGACACTAAAGCATGTTGGAATTTTCTTAATTCTCTTTCAGTGGGTTGGAAAAAAATACTTTCAAAAGTATTCCACACATGAAGAAGGAGGGAAGCCTTAAATGAAAATTCCCTTTGTATTATAGGCCCATTTCGGAAAGCCGCTGATTGCCGGCACACCATGAGTGTCTAGGGGCTTCCTAGACCAAAGTGAGTTGAGGGTTTTTTTTAAGCCTTAAATATTAAGATACTCAATTCTTTCTTTGTAACTTTGTTAGATTATTAGAATTCATAGATCTTCTAAAAAGGTCAGTTTACCTTCCTTTTGCTATTTTTACTGATGAACATGTTCACTTTTGCTTCCCAGTCTCCAGATCACTTGTTATACATATTATATAAAAATTCATTTTAATAATTACATAATTTACATTTCTGCTATATAGAACACAGATACTGTGTGTCCTGTGTAGCTCATAGGATTATCATAATGATGAAATGAAATAATGTTTTGTAATTTTAAAGTACTATAAAAATGTTCGTTTTTAAATATTTTCTGTTTTTCGTTGAGTTCTTTTTTGCCTTATGTGTATGAGGGTTTTTTTCCTTTCATTTTCTAATTTAGATTTTTAAATTCTCCTTTAATTTAATTGTATTCAGAGAATAGGTATATATAAGACTTGGTCATTAGAAATTTGTTGAGATTTGCTTCATAATCTAGAATAGGGTCAATTTTTGTAAATGTTTCATGAGTGCTTGAAAAGTCTGAATATTTTCTAGTTGTTCCTTGTCTGTTAGACCTAGCTTGTTATTTGTATTGATCAAGTTCTGTTTTACTATTTTTTTCCTTTTACTTCATCTTTCAGATTCTAAAATGTGTTAGAATTTCCTTTTCTAGTGGATTTGCTAACTTATCTCCATAATTCTATCCATTTTTAAAAAGGTATTTTAAGGCTTTGTTATTAGGTACATACATGTTTAGAATCGTCCAAGTTTTAGAACTGACTCGTAACATTTATGGTCATATTCTGTATTTGTAATGATACTTTCATTTCATTTTATATTGCTCTAAATCTGGGGGTTTTAAAATATAGGCCACCCCTGCTAGTTAGTATTTATGTAATGTATAGTTTTTATCCTTTTGTTGAACCTTTCTATGTATCTCTTTAAAACCATTATTAGATTTTTTCTGGTTATTTTAAATAGACTTTTAACCTATTTACTCATACATTTATTGAAATTACTAATATGTTAGAATTTATGTGTCCCATTTTCTTTTGTGGTTTTTGTACCAACTTTTCTGGGTTTTTTTCATAATCCTTGTTTTGAATTGACTTCTGTTGTGGTTTTTTTTTTTTTTGGTACTGGGGATTGAACTTGGGACCTTGCGCTTGCGAGGCAGGCACCGGATTATTGTGTTTTTTTACTTAGTTTTCTTCTCCTAGGTTAGAAGTTAAACACTCAGTTTTTATCTTTCAGGGCTCACCAGGAAATATGATTTGCATATCTCAAGTTAATATCTTTAATGAACAAAGTCTGATTTTGTCCCCTCAACTTACAAATAAATTATTATGTAGAATTTTAGTTCTTGTTTTAACTCCCACCATAGTTATATAGTCAGTGTTTAGACATACCCTGCAGGTTTACCGTGTTACTATTCTTGGAAGCTGGTTGGGGCTACAGTTCACTGTTGACAGCTGCATTCTCTCAGTATTTAATATTATGCCACTGTCTGTCTTCTGTTGTGACTTCTGAAATGACAGCTGTCAGTGTGATCAGTACTCCTTTGTGACTAATCTTGTTAATTCTCTCCCAGGTCATGTTTAAGATTTTTATCTTTAGTGTTCTACAGTGAAATGTTATGCTATACGATGTTTAAGCTGTGGATTTCTTTTCATTATCCTAAATTAATATTTAAATAGTGCCTTTCCTGAATTCTGGAAAATACTTACCTCTGACTCTTTGAATATTGCATCTCTCTTTCTCTCCATTCTCTTCTTTGACAAATCAGATGAACCTGTTGTTTTACCATCTCACTCTCTTCTCCAGATCCCTAAGTCTTTGTTTCATATTTTCCATATCTTGGTCTCTGTGTTGAATTGTGGATCATTTCCTTAAATTTATTGTGTGACTCACTAATTCTATCCCCTCACACCCCCTCTCTCATCTATTTAACTCATTTGATGTATTATGAATTATTGCGTTTTTTTATTTTCAGAAGTGTTTGGTTCGTAAACTTGTCATTTAGGATAGTTCTGGTTTTCCCTTTTTATTTTCTTTAAACATTAAATCCTCATTTTTTGTTCCAAATGTGATAATTTCAACATGTTTCTTTTATGTGTATCTGAATCTATATTTTGTGGTTTTGGCTAAAACAAGTTCGTGATGTCTTGTTTTCTAATGCGGTCAGTGATTCTTGATTGTGAGTTCACGTTCTTCTGAACTTTATTTTGGGAATTTTTTTTAGTTCAAGTATATTCCTTCAGAGAAATTATGTTCTTTTTCCAGTACCACCAGTTGCTTCTTGAGACACTGCAAATGCTGGACCACTTCAAAGTCAGTTTCCTACTTGGGTTCCTTGCCTTTCCTGCTCCCCACTGCTGTGTCTGCCTGGGACTAGGCTTTCCCCAAGAGAGGTGCGTGCGCGCACGTGTACACAGACACACACTCACACACACACAGAGTTCTGCTTGGAGTTAAGAAGAGCAGGAATAGATGTTTTCCCAGCTCAACTACAGAAGGCAGTTCTCTTTGGGGTTTCCCAGCCCTGCTACTCATCCGGCTCAGTCTCTGATTTGAGCTGAATTCTGTTCCCTTCAAAACTCATAGACTCAAACACCAGTCCCAATGTGAGGTCATAAGGTGGGACCCTAACCTATTGGACTAGTGTCCTGATAAGAACGGGAAGAGATACCAGAGCCCACCCTGCCCCCTGCAAGCTCAGAGGAAAGATCAGAGCTAGAAGCCACTCATCTGCAAGCCCAGAAGGACCCGCACCAGAATCACAGAATAGACAGTTTCTGGTCAAGTGGTGCAGCATTTACTGACGGCAAGAGAGGAGAAAACAGGCACATGAGACCCAGCCCCAGGCACACATTGGTCACTCAGGACCAGCCGCTCCACCCTGCAGCCCACATGCACAATACTGTACTTTTTTAAAAGTTGGAAGAAATGTACTTTTCATCTTGCTTGGAGTAATCCTCCCCCACACATAATAAATTTAAAAAAGAAAAGTTTGATGAGACCAGGCATCTCAAACAAATACCATTTATCAACATGAAGTTTGACTAGATGAAAAGCCAGTGTGTGAGGTTAGCTGGATGGTACTTCAGTTTCCTCTGCATGGCTCAGATTCTTGATTTTTATGAAGCTGCTCATATTGTTGACAAAATTCTAAAGAGGAAATACTCAGTAAATGTTAATATTCAATGTAATTCTTTTTCTTAAAATCGAATTTGTAGGGAATTTCAAAATCACTAATTCAATTTTTTAAAACCTCATGTCATCACCAATGCTTAAGCAGCTTTTTGGAAGTTACATTTTTTAAGAAAATTGTTCCTAAAATTAATATATAGTAAGAGCTGGGTGTGGTGGTAATCCCACAAATAATCCCAGCATTTGAGAGGCTGAGGTAGGGGAACTGCCCCAAGTTCCAGGCCAGCCTGAGCTCCACAGTGGGTTCAAACCGGCCCGGACTATATAGCAAAACCTTGCCTCAAAAACCCAAAATACAAAGATGAGTGAATAATAAAATTACAAAAAGAACATTGTCACAAAATAAAACCTTATGTGGTAAATTGTGTATTAGATTTGTTTTTAAAGTTAATTATATACCAAATAATTCATTAAAATGGAAACTTTAATTTTACTATTTAAAGTTTTGACACTGAAGAATCAGTCTATCCTTAACTTGGAATCTGAAATTTATAGCACCAGCAGGTGTCGCTGTGATAACAGGTTTCCCCTCTTCTAAGCAGTTTTGTGCAGCAGGTGCCCTACATCTGTGGAAAAAGATCCCATGAGACAAGAAGTTCAGTCACAGAGCTCAGTACAAATACCAGATTGTAAGAAACCAGGTACAGTATCCCAGATGGTTAGGGGTACTTTGGAAAATTGTATTTTTTCCTAACTTTCTTCATGTCTCAAACATAGAGATTCTTTCATTATGTAATTGATGTGGGAATTTTACTAAGAATAAGTATTCCATTTAAAAAGTTGGTAGTTTATTGGGCTTTGTATTGAAGTGTAGAGTAAGACACAGTTCACAAGTTTACACTCTGTAACTTAAACCAAAATCAGGAAACAACATTCCCAATAATGTTTTTATATGGAATCCTAAAAATTCCGTGGTCCTCTCCTCCAAACTAAGATAGAATTATGATTTCTAAATCATCCTTTAACTACATTAAAATAATTGGCAAAAAACAATAACGGAAATTAAAAGGTTAGTTTTTAGATCCTTTCTCCATCTATTATGGAAGCCAAAGTAGAATTTAATAAACATTCATTGGAGCACTGTGCCCTGCCAGGATTATATTCTAAACAAATCTAGGCAATCATAACACACTTATCGTAGAGGAAATTATAATTAAGTTGTGCAATGTATAAAATAGAAAAAACCCAAAAACTTGCTTAATATTGAAGATCATAATATATTGAGCAAGCAGTACATGATTAAAATAATAATTAAAAATTCCACATAGGAACTATCTTTGTGAGCTGTGATTAGGGAATCCTTTGTTCTAAAGATAAAACCTGAATCAACAGGACTTAGGTAATGAAAAGAGGCAGAGTATTTCCAGTTCAGTTTAGTTCAGTAAGCACTTGTGGGTCAGTCACCTGTAGCCCAGGTCCTTTGGACCCCTAGATACATCCCAAGGCTCACAGGGTAGTGAAGCCTAGTTTT